CCACGCGGGCGCCCACGGTGTGCTCTGGGGGTGCCCACGTTGGTCACTGCTTCCTGGCGGTGGCTAAGCCCCGCCCCGACCACGCCCCCTCCCCACAGCCATGTCCACCGTGGGCGGGAACTCGGAAGGCGCCCCCTGCGTGTTCCCCTTCACCTTCCTGGGCAGCAAGCACGAGAGCTGCACCAGCGCGGGGCGCAGCGACGGCAAGATGTGGTGCGCCACCACAGCCAACTACGACGACGACCGCAAGTGGGGCTTCTGCCCCGACCAAGGTGGGCGCCCCCCCCCCACTGTCCCCAGGAAACTGCCGCCTGGGAGGGTCCCGGCCCATCCCCGGTGGGGGCAGGTGTCCTCCTGCAGACCCTGCTGAAAGGTCCACAGTCTTTCTTGAGAAACAAAGAGCAGGATTTTAGCAAGTGGGATTTTAGGTCGTGGGGTTGCAGAGGATGCTTGTCCAGCCCTCAGCGGCTGGGAAGGGGTGAGGGGCTTTGTCCCACTCTACTCCGAAGCAGTGAGCACAACCTTGAGCTCAGACTTCTCAGATTGGGAGGAGTCAGTCTGCCAATTCCAGGGCCCTCAGCCCCTCCATGGGGCGTCCTCCTGGTCTCCGCTGGGACCTGACTCCCCGCTCTTTGCCCTCGCTGTCTCTCTGCACCCGCGCTGCGCCCTCCGCCCCCAGGGTACAGCCTGTTCCTGGTGGCGGCTCATGAGTTTGGCCACGCAATGGGGCTGGAGCACTCCGAGGACCCAGGAGCCCTGATGGCCCCTATTTACACCTTCACCAAGAACTTCCGGCTGTCCCATGATGACATCAAAGGCATCCAGGAGCTCTACGGTGAGCCTCAGTGTGCGGGCAGCCTTGGCTCAGGCCTGAGATGGGGGTGGGAGGACCATGGGCAGGCAAGCCCCCATCTCCCCGGGATTGCAGAAGACCAGGGCAGGAGGCGGTAGTATCGATCAGGTCAGGGGCAGCAGGGCAGCTCTCTAAGGAGACCCCAGGACCACACCCTTCCTTTCCAGATCAGGCCAGTGTCTGCACCCTCCTCCCTCCCCAGAGCCACCCTGTCAGATAAGCAGGGCAGAAACTCACTCTCCATTTCCCGAGGCCGGTGGCCCAGCCCGCACAGGTTAGGTTTAGAATCCAGGAGCGTTAGCTGAGGCCGCGCAGAATTCTCCAGTGTGTGGAGTGATGTTGCTAGTTTGCAAAATGGTTATTTTAATGTGTGATAAGAACAATATAATTGAGCACCTGAAACCAATGATTGCTTTCACACTGAAGCTTACAACAAGGTGAAGGTTTTAAAAGTCACTTTTTTGTTTTTTAAAGATTTATTTATTTATTCATACAGAACTGGGGTACAGGCCAGAGGCTCAGGGGCGGTGAGAGGCTTCACCAGAGACAGAGTGGGGAGCAGAACAGGCAGATCGACGAAGTACACTGCTGAGGGGAGCAGCGGGCGGGTCAGGAGAGGTCTGGCTCGCCATGTGGTCTCCTCCTGGGCAGGCGGCAGGCGGGAATCGAACTCATACGGAAGTGGCTTCAGATTCTCAGTGCTTTAACCCGCTGCGCCACCAGGGAGGGCCTAAAAGTCACTTTTTTTTTTTTTTAAAGCAAATATATGTCCTAGCACTGGTATGACCTGGACCAAACCAGCATGGTGAGGGCTCTTTGAGTGGGGAAGCCGGAGGATCACTGGACTTGGGAAAGAACCCGAGGTCCAGAAGACAGGCGGGGTCAGGTGCTGCTCCTGCACGCACCAGCTTTTGATGGAGCAGGTCTCGAGACCGGTTTCCTTTTTAAGCTGTGACTGGTATCCCTGAGGAGCAGAGTGATGCCTTTTTGAGACAGCACCACCCCCCAGTGCCGGACACACAACTGCCCTGACTTGTGGGCTTAGGAACCCGAGCTTGACCTTGGGCAAGTCACTCAGCCTTTCTGGACCTCATTTCCTCACCCTGTAACATGGGAGAGATCCCCTCCCCAGTAGTGGCGAGGACGGACTCCGGTCATGCCAGGGTAAAAAAAGAAAACGTGGATAAGATGCTGAGGGCCTTGGGGCCCTGGTTTTTCTTTACTCACCTCGCTTGGTCCAGGCTCTCTCTCTTACCTGGGCTACCCTAAGGCCAGATCCTATTCTTGCTGACCCTTAGCAGGCTCGCTGGGTAATCCTGGGGACTCAGCCTGGTGGGAAGCACCCCTGGAGCGGGAGTCTGAATTCGGTGTCCTCCCCAGGGGCCTCACCTGATACTGACACTGGCACTGGCACCGGCCCCACCCCCACGCTGGGCCCCGTCACTCCTGAGATCTGCAAGCAGGACATTGTCTTTGACGGAATCTCACAGATCCGTGGGGAGATCTTCTTCTTCAAGGACCGGTGAGTGCAGCAGCTGCCCTCTGCCCTGTCACGGTGTCCCCACCCCTCGCTCCTGGGTCCCACTGGGCGCTTCACGGAATGACCTGTGTCAGACAGGCCGCATTTCAAACAAGATCCCGCTCCTAAAGGTTTCGCACCGTGGGTATTTCTTTCGCCCCCTCCTCGTCTGTGAGTCTCCTGGGGATCTTGGCTTTGGGCTGTGGTTTGGGTACAGGGCATGCCACTCACTGTCCTGGGATTGGGGTGACTTGTGGCTGACGCGAGACGCATGTGTGGCCACATCAAATCACAAAGCACGTGTAAAGCCTCTACTTCACCGGAGTCACTGGGCAGTGCCTTGGGTGTATGATTCTAAAATAGGGGTGGGCTGGGACCTCCTTGGTGACCCAGGAGTTAAAGTCACAGCGCTATCAAGCTATGGCCAGTCCCTGCGGTCTAAGTTTGCTCCCTAGCCAGGGAGTGACCCACATGGCACAGCAGACCTCTCCTGTCTCCCCGCTGCGCCCCTCAGCAGTGGATTTCAGTCAATCAGCCTGTTCTGTTCCCCACTCTGTCTCTGGGGATTCCTCTCACTCTCCACATCTCTGGCCTGTACCCAGTTCTTGTATGCATAAATAAAAATAAATCTTTAAAATAAAATAAGATAGGGCCCTCCCTGGTGGCGCAGCGGGTTAAAGCACTGCACTGAGAAGCTAAAGCCACTTCCACATGAGTTCGATTCCCGCCTGCCCCGGAGGTGACCACATGGCGTGGCAGACCTCTCCTGGCCCGCCCGCTGCTCCCCTCAGCAGTGTACTTTGATCATCTGCCTGTTCTGCTCCCCACTCTGTCTCTGGTGAATCCTATCACCCTCCACATCTCTGGCCTGTACCCCAGTTCTGTATGAATAAATAAATAAATCTTTAAAAAATAAATAAATAAAATAAGATAGAGGTGGGAAGAATTGAAAACAATAATCTACACTGCTACCAGCCTTCCAGAATGACCTCAAATGGCCAGCTCTGTGCCAGGGAGCAAGTGGCCACAGTACCTTTATGTTGTGCACAAAGGCCCCCACTCAATCAACTTAGTGCTGAGACTTGACCCAACTGACCCGCCCCCCTGGGGAAGGGCAGTAGCAACTGGACCTACATTCGTTTTGGCAGTTTGTGTGTGTGTGTGTGTATTATATATCATCCTTCATTTTTGTACAGTGTATGATTACCCCGTGAAATTCCCACCACCAGTTCCCCGGTGCACCACCATGATAGTCCCCTGTGCGCTTCCCACTCCCGTCCTGATCCTTCTCCCTCCTTCTCCCCTACAGAATGACTCTGATCAATAATTGCCTGATGATTTTGATTTTGACTTTGCTATAGTTTTTTTTTTCCTGATTCTTTATCTGGTTTTTCTGTCTCCTAGAATTGAGACCATTTGATATATATTTTTTTTTCTTTCTGGCCTATTTCACTGAGCTTAATTAGTACCTTCCAGCTCTATCCGTGTTGCTGCAAAGGCATGAGTTTGTCCTTTTGACGGCTAAGTAATATTCCATTGTGTAAACAGACCACATCTTCTTGATCCAGTCATCTTGTTTTGGACATTTGGGTTACTTCCATAGCTTATCTATTCTAAACTGTGCCGCAATAAACATAGGGGTGCAGATACCCTTTCGAATTAATATTTTTGTGTCCTTTGGGTAGATCCCTAGGAGTGGAATTGCTGGATCCTCCACACAGTTTCTGGAACCTCCACACAGCTTTCCATAGCAGTTGGACCAGCAACTAGAACCTCATTAAAGGGTCCACCCATCATCCCTGTGTTTACACACATACACATACCCCCTTTCATTCTGTCCATCCATCAGTCTCTCCCATCTGTCATTATCTCTCTGTCTCTCATCCATTCTCCACCATCTCTCCAGCCATTTTGCATCCACCACCCAGCCATCATCTGTCCATCCATCTGCCCCCTATCCTTGGGGGTTGATTGAATGGACTGGGGTGCCTTATCTCCCGTGCTGGGGTCTGGGCGGGCCTGTGACTTGCTAGTTGTGTGATCATAGGTGAGTTTATTATGTATCTTCTTTGGACCTGTTTCCTTACTTGTAAAATGGGGTGAACGTGCCAATCCTTTTCTTAGGATGTCATGAGATTAGGCTTGAAACGGTGCCTGACAGAATATGCCACTATAGTTCAGCATGTGGCTGTGACCGCCAGCAGTTAACTGCTTGGTATCTGCTTTGCCAGATGCTTGGTGAAGCTTGAGGAGCTGGTCTGGTGTGCTGGGGCCAAGGGCCTGGGGTCTCCATCAGTGTTCCCCAAGAGCAGGCCATAGGCCTCTGGTATCAGCACCCTCCAGTGGGGGAGTGTTGAAGGGTCAGTGACTGCCCCAGCCCCCAGGCCCCCTGGCTGGGATGTAGGAGCCACCCCAGTAATCCACAGGGTAGCACATTCCCCTGTGATGATTCCAAGACCCAAGTGCAGCACAGCTCAGGTATCACCCGTCTGGTTTGGAAAACAGAGGCGATGGTCAGGCTGGGCAGAACCGAGGAAAGTGAGTAGCAGGATGCTCTGTGGACACCAGAGAGAAAGCAGCATTAGGCAAAGCCTCTAAAGGACACGCAGATGCAGACAGACAGTGAAGAGCTTCACAGGTTGGCGGGGAAGGTTGAGGCGAGGGGAATGCAAAAGTGAAGTGTTAGGTGTGCGAGTTCTCCGCATGCACAGGGAAGAGCAGAGACCCTGGGGGAGCCAGGAAAGTGTACCATAAGCTTTCCAAGGGCCCCCTCTGCCCTGAGCATGGGCTAGGTGCGGGAGGGCAATGTCTTGTCCTCAGCGGGGTATGCTACCAGCAGGGAGATGTAAGAATGCAGAGAAGGGGAGATTCAGCCTGCAATGAGAAGCCCCGTCAGAACCTGAGCACCCAAATGGGGATGTGTCACAATGAGAGCGGCGCTTCCTGCTGCCCTGAGATGGGTGGGAGGGGGAGTGTTCCCAGCATCGCCCTGCCTTGTGCGCTCCCCACCCCAGCTGACCTCACGAGCACATCTGAGAAGTGTGGGCCCAGGAAAGAGTGCTGAGACCAGGCCAGCTGGGAGCTTCCCCAGCCTGACAGATCACACTTGCTTTCAAAGTGAAGTGTTCAGTGAGTTACCCACTGTCGAAGCACTGAGCACACACTGAAGTTGGTGCTGAGCACTGGCTAACGGGCAAGTGTAGCAATGCCGCAGGGTGAGCAGACTCAGATTTTGGACTGAGATCTGGATTTGAATCCAGCAGGGAGGTGGCGAGAACACAGAGAGAACTGGAACCTCTCTGAGCTGCACTGAACAAATAAAATCATCATCCCTTTCTGGAGCAGCATGGTTTGGCTGCCGGGAATGGAAAACCCCAACTCCAGGCAGCTTAAACACTGGCGAGAAATTGCTCTCATGCCTTGTGAAGGGAAGGCTGCCTCAAGGGCCAGAGAGAAAGTTGGAGACTCCATGAATATCAGTGTCCACAGCCCATCCCCAGCCTTGACTTTATTCTAAGACTGGGTGCCTCATGGTCACAAGGTGGCTGCCAGTGCACGGCCTTCCTTGCCCACATCCCATAGAGAGCTGTGAAATATCGAGTCTGTCCCATCTTGTGCCACATGAGTCACAGTTGCCAGGGAATACTGTCCTCTGCTAGGTTTAGGCCAGAGGTTCTCAGACTTTGGCTTAGAATCTTCTGGAAATCTTGTGAGGACAGACTGCTGGATGCCAAGCCCAGAGAATCTGATTCATAGGTGTTAGTTGGTACCTAGTAATTTGCATTTCTGATGAGTTCCCCACCTCTGCTGCTGCAGCTGGTGCGGATCGCTCTTTGAGAACCAGTACTTGAACTCATCCAAGTAGGGAGCGGATCCACCAGGGAAGGATGGATCATAGATGTGGGAGTCCCAGCATGGAGGAGGATGTGGGGAATAAACAGGTGCTGGGCACACCTGTTATCCTGTAACATCGGGGAGACTACACCTTGCAGACACTTAGTGAGAGACCGCTCTTGCGCCCGCTGGAGTGCACGAAGCCGTACCCTTCCCAAACCCCCCAGGAGATGTACCCTTTCCTACTTACTTCAGGAGACACTTTCGATTGCCTGCTATCAGTTCCTGGCTCATTCGGCTTCCAGTCTAATAGAGACAGATGTTACAGGCGGGGGCGGGGGGGCTTACAGTGGGTTGGGGGGGGTGAAATGGGAAAAGGGGTCAATTGTGCCATGATGGATTGAAACTGGGCTTTGGGTAGAGAACGCGATGGCGTCAGACAGATGTTGAATTATGTATGGGCTGTGCGCCTACCCCTCATATAATGTTATAAAACAATGCATTGTATTTTACTAGCTGTAGCTGGTGCTTTAAAGTAGGTAGACTAGCACGATACTAAAGAATATAAAAGTGAAAAACAAGCCAGTGACTGTTGCAGGCATTCAGGTAGACGATTTTGAGAGGCTGCAGGAAGAACACAGTATGGGCAGAGGCAGTCCAGGCAGGCTTCCTGGAGGAGGAAGACGTAGGCAGCGCTAAGAGGCTGCTTCTCAGCCCCGGCGTCTTGCAGAGGGGGCTGTGCCCAATACCCAGGCCTCCGGCCTCCCTCTGGTCTTGCCTCTGCCCCAGGACCCGGTCGCTGGCATGTTGCCACGTGGGCTTAGCCGGGCGTGCGGTCAGAATGCAGACGCGCTGAAGGCATCGTTTCCTCTGACCCCTCCCACCTCCAGGTTCATTTGGCGGACAGTGACGCCGCGTGACAAGCCTACAGGGCCGCTGCTCGTGGCCACGTTCTGGCCGGACCTTCCAGAGAAGATCGATGCTGTGTACGAGGCCCCTCAGGAGGAGAAGGCTGTGTTCTTTGCAGGTGTGTGGAGGGTCTGCCCACCTTGACTCCACGGGGCTCCGTACCGGGACCCCTCCCGGAGCGGTGCTGCGTATCTGTGGGTGGCTGGGTTGGTTCTTTTAATCATTTCCAAAAGTGTGGGTTTCTTTGAGAGGCCAGTGCAGACACTCGCCCTAGAAGGCATCCAGCCGCGGCATGCACATGTCCTTCTCATTGTCTTCCCGCCCCTCAGATTCCTATTCTAGAAGGAAAATCACGATTTAGTGCTGGTGTCTCTGACGCCTTTGACAGGCAACAGTTCTTATTAGACTTTTCTAATTGTGGGTTTGCTGGCATTTCAGTGGTTGTAATAAATTTCTAGAGATTTGAAGGGCGTTCCTTGAAAGCTAACGATGATGTAGGGGCGAGGGCCGGGTCTCTGTAAGTGGTTAAATCACCCCGCTAAGTCATGTGGCTGATGTCTGGCAGCCCCGTGCATCCGGTGTTTATCTAAGCAACTGTCATGTGCCGGGACCCAGCCCTGCCCTGGGTTCACTCACACGCTTCTGGGGAGACCCAGGACCCAGCTGTTGTGGAGGGGTGTCCCAAGGGCTGTGTCGGGGAGGCGGGGGACACACGGTGCAGTTACACTGTCCTGGCCGCCGCCTCCCCGTCACCATCCCAGAGTGGCCAGGGGCTGCCCAGAGCTGACGGGCCCACCAGAGGTTCGGGCTGGATTTTCAGGGGAGACAGAGCCTTCTCCCAGGGAGGGGGCTGGGGCGTTTCCCTGGTGCACAGTCTGTCTGCAGAGATTCCAGAATCCTGGTGATCCAGCCCCAGAGCCACGGAGCATGAGCAGCTGCCTCCAGCCCAGGCGTCCCCGAGTTCATGCCAGTGGGTGCTCAGCCCCTGCTTCTGGAAGATTCTATTCAGCACACCAATTTGTGCAAATTAGAAGGTGCCCCTTCATAGCAGGCGAGGCACTTAGGGTGTGTGACTGGGCGCGTGGAGTGAGGGCTGGGCTCACCCCCCACCACCCCCCAGGCCCAGCACCTCTGATAACCAACAGTAGCATGGTGCCTCTGGGCTTTAAGGCCTGTGCAGGAGTGGCACTAAGTGGCCACAGGGGTCCCTGGCAGGCAGAAGACGGGGGAACAGGCTGGCCTGGGGGTGTCAGCACCAGTCACCAACCTTCTCTTTGCTTCTGCCCCAGGGAAACAATACTGGGTCTATTCTGCCAGCACCCTGGAGCGAGGGTACCCCAAGCCGCTGACCAGCCTGGGACTGCCCCCCAGTGTTGAACGAGTGGATGCAGCCTTTAATTGGAGCAAGAATAAGAAGACATACATCTTTGCTGGAGAGCAGTTCTGGAGGTAAGGGAGGTGGGACCCCATGTCTCTGCGGAGGGCTGCACAGCCGTTTACCTGGAGACGGAAGACGTGCTTTGGCTTCACGCCCCCTCGGTCATGTTCGGAGGCTGGTGGCCATGAGGGCCCCAGTCTGGAGTCCGACCCGCTGCTCCGGGAAGTCCTGGCGGATGGGAAGTCCTCACGCATGTCATGAGTGCAGTTCTGGCCACAGCCTCCTTTCCCTTCTCGGCCCTTGTCTGTGTGGTCTGCAGTCTCGCATTTTGGGGTGTCTCAATGAAGACGGTGGTGTTGAAAATAAAGCTAAAAGCTGCTACTGTGCCAGCCACTGTCCAAGGGCTGGATGAGATGGTTACAGCGACTCCCGCTTTACAGACGAGGCAGGTTGGGTTCAGAGAGGTTGAGCATTTTGCTTAGAGTCACACAGCCAGGGCGTGGCCAGGCAGGTTGGGATTGTTCATTCTTCTCGCTGTTCCTCAGTGAGTGGGGACCCCTAGTGGGGTGGTGGGAACAGGGGTGGCAGAAGGCAAAATCCCAGGACAGCCGAGAGATGATGGAAATCCCAGGAGTCTGTGTCCAAGCCGGGGCCTGGCCAGTGGCCAGGTAATGGACGCCGGTAATGGCAAGGGCTTGGGAGCAGGTGGGTCTGTTGTCAGGTCACCAGAAGGGAAGGCATCCATGGCCAGGGTGGAGGTCTGGAGGCCAGGCTCTAGGAAGGGCAGTGGGAGGAAGCCCACTGCTCGGGAGTGTGAAGAGAGTTCGTTCGGTGCCTCACGTGAGGAAGTCGAGGTCCTCATGGAAGCCTGGTCTGAGTGAGCGGGCCTCAGGCCAGATTACCACTGCTCTGTCCTCTCACCCCAGGCCCTCACAGCCCTCCTGGGGGTCATTTGGTCAGTGGCGAAGGGCTGGTGATTCTTCAGCTGCCTCTAGCCCTCCCGTGCCCCTGTGTTCTTGGGCGGCTATTGCTGTTGCAGGTCCTGGCCACAGTCCCGGTGGCCACAGTCCCATCCCTGCTTCCCTCCCCAGCCCGCTCTCGTCCCCACCATCTGGCCGCCCCTCCCCACTGCCCAGCGTTCAGACGCTGTTTGTGTCCCAAGCTGTCATGTCCACGTGGGATTCCTGTCCTACTGCTCAGATAGTAACAACTCAAGCTGATGGATACTTGAAGCCTGGAGAAAGAAAACAGCCGGACACGACGATGGGCTTTGCACACAGCAGCCCTGAGTCACCCGCATGTGACTCAGAGGGAGCGAGACAAACACTTCTGAGCAAAAGAATGCTGTTTCGGACCCTATGCCAGGCCAGCACCTCTGCCCCTGGCCTGAACGTCTCATGGGAGGTGAAGACTAGCGTCACCCCACTGCAGGTCTGAAAACAGCACCCCAAGGAGGCCCCTCCACCTGCGGGGAGAAGTTGGCACGGAAAGTCTGACCCTCTGCAGCTGCAGAGACACAAAGCCTGCATGGGGGAGCAGGAATCGCGGGGGACAGAGGGAAGGGAGACGCAGCACCCCCTCCCGGCCAGCTCCTTCCAGTGCTGCGATGACACTTTCCTCCTGAAGGAAAAGAACTTGGAAGCAAATCGGCTCACTGGCCTGTCGCCCTTTTCCTCACCTGGAGAACGGGGTTAATTCCTCCCTCCGACCTTGGGTGGGGAGGCTGAGAGAAGTGAGGCCCAGCTCATGCTCGGACGCCTAGCTCTGGGCCGTCCTCTGGGCAGTCGGGGAGGTGACGTGGGCGGAGTACTGGGTTCCTGAATTGGGAGACATGGCCGCAGGACCCTGGGTCACCACGGAGTCTGTTGGGTTTTGCAGGAAGGGATCTTAGGATGTACTGGGATTATTAACACTGCTTTTCTGGGTATGATGGGCGGGGCTGGGGGTGGGGTGACCTCCGTAGAAGAGACCCCCGTAGAAGGGAGTTCAGGATGGGGGGCAGGCTGGCCGTGCAGGAGAGAACCCCCCCGGGGGGGCACCTCAGAAGAAGCGGCTGTCACCCGCAGCACGCTTCATCTTGGGCCTGCAGTACCCACAGGCAACCAACACTCAGAGTATTTATCCTGATTAAAACTGGAAACTGGGCCCGAGAGCCGCCGTTGGTGGTGGCATCACACACGCTACCCCATCGTGCCGTCTGCCGGGACAGGACTGTCGTCTCCACCGGTTAGATGAGGACGCAGCAGCTGTCCACAGCAGCCAGCAAAGAGCAGGCGGGCCCGAGCCTGTCCGTGGGCTCCCAGGCCAGAGCTCCTCTGGCTGCAGCAGGAATCCAAGTTTATCAGGAACTACCAGTGCCTATTGCCCACCCAGTACAGACAGGGGCCAGGACGTGCCTGTTTCATGTCACAGATACACCCGTTAGCCCATTCTGTTAAATGCAGTCAGTCCCCTTGCGGCTGTAAAACAGGCACACAGAGCAGCCGGCAGCTCCTGAGCCAGACCAGTCTGGGTTAGTGACCACCGAGAATCGGTGCCCCTCTGAGCCTCCCATCTGTAGAATGGGCATTGGGGTACTGACAGCTTCCCGCCGTGGGGCACGGACTGAGAACACATGTGGCAAGCAGTTAACACGCAGAGGCTGCCAAGGGCTGGTGCAGACTGCAAGTGAGCAGGGTGCTGGGTGCAGACCTGGGTCTCACAACACCCAGGCCTCACACGCCCAAGCCCCACAACGCCCAGGCCCCGCAACGCCCAGGCCCC